GCAAATTCGGTCATTGGTTTTTTGAAGGATTTTGGCCCTACAGTTTGGAGATATGTCAAGTATCAGATATATCACAACAATTATGTGAGTGAATTCCAAACAATGCGAGGGCGGTTGGAGGACCGAGTAGCTGACGTTGACACAAACTTGATGACACAGCTTGGGCAGCCTGGAAAGATTACAAAAAAGGAAGTTGAAACTTGGCTAGAGAATGCACGCCAAGAAATTGCTGAAAAGGTGATTGATGATCTGATCTGCAAAGGGGGTTGTTTCACATATATTTGCTCATCAAGAAAGCTCGATAAAGAGACCCAAGCACTGGAAGTGGGGATACTTAAGCGAGGGGAAAAATATGCTAATACTGGTGAGATTTTGGTCATGGATGATCACTCAATCCAGTATTGTGCAAGGGTATTTGAAGATAAGCAAAAGGAGGTGAAGCAAGAAAAGGAAAAAATTGAGGCAGATTTGAAGACTCAGCTTGGGCAACCTGGAAAGATTGCTTGGAACAAAGTCGAAGACTGGCTGAAGAAAGCAAGCCAACAAGTTACCACGAAGATTGAAGGTCTGATCAGCCAAGGGGAGTGTTCCTCATCAACCAACATCGAAGAAAAGATTGAAGAATTGAAGCAAACACTTGAGGAAGGAAAAGAATTCACTAATGTTGGTGTGAGTTTGGTCATAAATGATCACTCAAAAAAAGGAGTTACAATGCTTGCTGAAAAATGCATTGCACGGGATGATGTACAAGAAGAAATTCTGCAACTATTGAGGGGAGACAAGGTTACAAGAATTGCAGTTTGTGGAATGGGTGGCGTGGGCAAGACAACAATCATGAAGCAAGTCCACATCCAACTATTGAAAGAACCCAAATTTAATAAAGTTATTTGGGTTAAAGTATCAAAGGACTTTAATATGGTTGTCCAACAAAAAACACAGTTTGATATTCTCAAGTTTCAGAAGAGCATTGCAAGAAGATTGGGATTAGATTTGAAGAATGTAGATCAAGATGCAATAGAGCTTGCAGGACTGATATCAGATACATTGCAACAGGGTAGTCATGTCTTAATTCTAGATGATGTGTGGGAGCCTTTTTCTTTAGAAGATGTTGGAATCCCTGATCTAGTTGGAAATAATGGTTGCAAGTTCGTGCTAACGACACGGTTACAACAAGAGGTTGGTCGTGCAATGGAGTGTAAGGTGATCTATGTGAAGCCTCTTCCAGATGATGAAGCTTTAGCATTATTCTTGGACAAAGTTGGAAGTGAGGTGGTGTCCTATCTCAGATACAAAACTGATATAGAACCTTTTTTGAATCAAATTTTGAAGAAATGTAATGGTCTACCCCTTGCTATTGGGGTGGTGGCAAAAACCATGAGAGGAAATTCTGATCGTTGCTCATGGGAGATGGCAGATAAAGAATTGAGCAAATCTGAAGAAATTGTTGATCGTTTGAAATTCAGTTATGATCACTTAAAAGAACAATACAAGAAGTGTTTTTTATACTGTGCATTGTATCTTGAGGATCATGAAATCCGAAAAGAGGAGTTGATTGAGTTTTGGATTGATGAGGGATTTATTATAGATGAAAGGGGGTCTCGGCACTTAATGATTTGTGAGGGCCATTATATTATTCAGAAGTTGATAGACAATTGCATGTTGGAACCAGTTAAAGAAGAATACAAAAGTTATGGGAGGAAAGCAACTGGAGTTCTTAGAATCGAAAACAAAGAATATATGGTGAGTATGCATGATCTTCTTCGAGAAATGGCATTGAAGATTGTTCATCCTCAATTCATGGTGAAAGCTGGCATGGCCTTGGAAGAGCTACCAGAGGAGGATGAATGGAGAGAAGATCTTTTGAAGGTTTCTTTAATGAATAATAACATTAGAGAAATTCCTTCAAGTATGCTGTCTCCCAAGTGTCCAATGCTCACAACCTTGTTGTTGTCCAATAACAATATTACAACAATTCCAAATGCCTTTTTTGATCATATGCCTGGGCTGAAGATCCTTGATCTTTCTAGCAATCACAAGCTAGATGGGCTGCCGAGTTCTGTTTCCAAATTAGAGAATCTTACCACACTACTGTTGGAGAATTGTAAGTTCTTAAAAGAGGCACCATCTTTATCCAACCTTGGAGGCTTAAAAAAGTTAAACCTTTATGGGACATCAATTGAAGAACTACCCCAAGGCCTCTGCATGTTAACCAATCTAAAATATCTTTGGCTTGATGGAAAGTTTTCTGATATACCTGACGGATTGCTACAAAATCTCTCCAAACTTCAGTATTTAGGAGTAGATTGGAGTATACCATTGAAATGGGAGAAGATTGAAAGATTGAGGAAGTTGGAATTTCTTGATTGCCGGTTCTCTACGTTGAATGATATAAGCCTCTTTGTCAAGTCTGAAAGAAAGTTTTTAAATCAATACAAAATTTTGGTTGGCAACTACCATGCACTTGATTTTTACATCTATACCAAAACCTTTTCAAACGTTATGAGATCAATTGTATGCAGTCATATTGATATATGTGAGGAGCCTAACTGGTTACCATCTGATGCACGAGGCCTCTACATCTTGGACTGCAAGGATGTGAGAAGCTTGGACGACATTTCTGGCTTTCAAGAAACAACCGACTTGCGGCACTGCATCGTTAATCAATGTGATGGGCTGGAGTTTGTTGTTTCCTTGCGCTGCCTAAAGCCGCTCCAAAGCCTTGAGTCGCTATACCTTTATGGTCTGGGAAAATTGAATGTAGTGTTTGGGGAAGTAGGAGCAGTTACCAAGTCAACATTGCTGCTAGCTGGCACTTTTTCTTCCCTTCAAAAAATTAAAGTTCAGGGATGTGGAAAAATAAAGAAGTTATTGCCACTAAGGTTGTTGCGGTATCTCCAGAATCTACAGACCATTAAGGTTATAGCTTGTGATCAAATGGAGGAGATAATATGGTCTGAATATGAAGAAGGAGAAAAAGCCCTAGAAAAACTCACTCTACCCAAGTTAGAAAGGGTGACAATGGTGGAATTGCCTGCATTGAAGAGCATCTACAGTGGCTCTACTACTGTCTTGATCTGTGATTCCCTCAAAAGGATTGAAATTGTGCAGTGCCAAGAAATAGAGAGTGTTTTTTGGACGGGGTTTAACCCACTTCCAACCTTTGAGCATCTAGACCTTTGGGACTTAAAGAATCTGAAATCCGTGTTTGATGAAGAAGTTCTTGGTTTATCGGCCTGTCCCACCAACTTTAAAACAATTCATGTGTTTAATTGCCCTAACTTAAAGAAAGTATTCTCATCTGGATGGCTGCTTGGCTACTTCCAATCTCTAGAGACTATTCGAGTTGATTCCTGTGACCAAATGGAGGAGCTGATATCATCATCAACCTATGAAGAAAAAGAAGCCCTAGAAAAAATCACTCTACCCAACTTACAAAGGTTGGAATTGAATGAATTGCCCAAATTGAAGAGCATCTGTAGCAGTTCCAATGTGGTGATTTGTGATTCCATCAACAGTCTGTTGATTTGCTACTGTAAGAAGCTAAAGAGGGTTCTTCTGCATCTTTCCTCGCTTGACAATGGCCAGCCTTCTTCCCTCAAAGAAATTAAGGTAGACACAAAAGAAAGCTGGGAATCATTGGAATGGAACCAATCCAATGCAAAGGATGTCCTTCGACGTTTTGTAAATTTTCACTGTGATAGCAACACTGACATTGAAGAAGAAGAAGAAGGAATGTCTGATGACAACAACAATGATGATGAAGAAGAAGAAGAAGAATCTCTTAGGATGGGATAAGAAGCAAAGGAGTGCAGGCTCTTTGGTGATTGGGCGGTGCAAATGTAAGCCTTTTTAGCTTCAATTTTCCATTTCTGATTTTGATTCTGATTCAACTCAATAGGAGTTTTCATTTTGTATGCTTTCCTTCTTCGTTTCTATCTCGACAAATCTCTCTCCCTCTCACTCTTGTCTTTTCTTTTTAATATCTTTTAGTTCTTCTCCCCATTGGCAGCAAAGCCGGAGTTGGACTCTGTTACCATAAGAAAGCTGGAGTTGGACTCTATTACCACAAAAAAGCTGGAGGAAATCACATTTGCTTCCACCTATTATTGTTGTTGGGTTTTCAATTTAATATAGATACACTTGCTATTTTTTGTTTTTCTTCTTCTTCTTCTTCTTCTTCTTCTTCTTTTTTGTGCTGTGTGTTTAAATATGTTCAAATTCTAAGTGGAACTGTTTGTTTCTTATCTGTGTAATTTTGTCTTTCAAACTTGTGTGAGGATCTATCTTATTTCCTTGGGTATTTCTTTTGCTACATCTGCGTCTTTGCTTTTCTTGTAATAAACATTTTTGGCTGAAATTGTGAGATATTGCTATTTATCTTTGTTTCGAACCTTATTAGTGATAGTATAATACTACAAAATAGTATTTTGATTCATTTTTTTTTTAATTGAACTTATGGCTAAACTTCATCAATGATCATGCCTGTTTGAAAAGAAAATTCCAATGGCCATTCTTGGATATGAGCATGTGTGTTACATTCATCTATGGGTGGGCTGATGTTTGTGCCATTGGTGCTGTGTTAGAAAAGCATGCTGGTGATGAGAAGCTACTGGATTGTTACTAATTAACACAATTCAAATAGGTATTTGGTTGCTCTCTCGTTTTACTGGAGCAAAATTCCTATCACAATAGCTTTGTTTGAATATTTATTCTTATCTTCAGTCACTTTTTAGAGCATAGTAGAATTTCTTATGATGTACAAATGATGTGGGAAAGAAGAGTTCTTATGAGCTTGTTCCTTTCTAAACAAGCATATTTATATTGGTGAAGACACAACATATACCAGGCACATGGTAAGACCTACTTGCTTTGAAATCACCTTTAATGAACAAAATCAATAATCCCTATTTAAATTTTGGATCTGTACAGAGTCGATGATGTAATAATCATAAACAAATGGCAGCATGGTGCCATAGTGTTACAATGTCATTCTTAGTTCTTACCCTTCCAAAAGTAGTTGAGGTATATATATTCTAACTAGCATGCCATTTTCCTATTGTCTTCTTTAAACTGAATTTTGTCTAACTAATTTTTGTCTAGTACATCTGTCAAGCAAGCCAGAGTTTATCTTCTTGACACCATGCATTTTGAGGATGCAATTGGACTCAAGTGGAAAAGGCAATGCTAGCTCTAGGCAGCAGATTGCAAGTATTTACTTCGTAAAGCTAATAATCCTTAATGTGAATAAATTTCTTAATTCTATCCTTACTTTCCAAAACTCAAAACATAATTTAATTCTGTGCTTTACTTTTGGTGTTAACCTCTGCAGGTGCCTTAGAGCAAAAGTATGGTGTCTCTACTTTCAGTGGAGGAAGTGGAGAACATGGATTGAGGGATCTAGTTTGGAACACCATGTTTGAGAAGGATATGAGAAAACGTATTTAGGGTATTGACTCCTCAGATGTTGTTCTCCAGGTCAGTCCATCTCCTTTTATTGTCTAAGGACTCAACAGAAGTTGCATTCAATTTTTTTCCTTCTGCCCTCGTCCTTTAATACACCAGTTGGGAATTTAGTGCTACCATCAGGGAAAAATATGATGATATGTCATTTCTGCTATTTATCTGCAGGAAGTATCAAACATTTTTCTGTTTCGTAAATCCTTATCAGTTTTGGTTTCTTTATTTTACTATGTTTAATGCATAGCTTTTCTTGTCCTTCAAATGTGAAGAGGATTGAAAAGAATTATTGTGTTAATCCATTCTTTATTTATTTTTCTTTTTACAGGTTTTGGATGCTACATGTTAGGGACCCACAAGGTATAAGATGCCTTCATCTAGATAAGCATTTGAAAGAAAATTGCTAGCATAAACACATGATTCTTCTGTTAAACAAGCTCAGTCTCATTTTCTAGCTGTATTTATAAGGCTGCAACTGCTTGTGAACACTTGTAGTTCCCCCTTTTCACTGTGAGATTGTTTACGCTTGGGCTATAAAGGGATGGCTTAGAATATTATCAAAGCATTTCATGCTTGCATTAATAGGCCTTTTTGCAAGGTCAGTAATGCATTTCACTCACTCTCTCTCTCACACACACACACGCACGCACACAAATGCTAGAAAAGCTCCCCTTCTTTCAATTTAAGGCAAATGTTGAAGGAAAACCTTAATCTACCTAGAAAAATATTCTATGCAAAGTACTTTGTATATTTTTTGCATTTTTAGCTACTAACTTGTATTAACTCAGCATTGTCATTTGTCTTTTCTTTTCTTGTTGCACACGGGTTCTCTGTTGTTAGCTTTGACACAATTTACCTTCTTAACAAGTGACGAGCAAGCAATATCTGTGGGATTTGTTGGGTATCCTAATGATGGAAAGTCTTCTGTTATTAACACAGGTCCTAAAAATGTAATGTGCTGCCTCTTTATGGCTTCTTCTGTTGCATTATTCATGAAAATTTGTGTTTCTATGCCCTTGAATGTTGAAGAGATAAATGTGCCCATCACTATGTTCCAAACTCTTATCTAACATGTTTATTAACTCTTATCTAAAATATGATTTCTCTGGATGCTTTTAAGTATAGCACCATATCTGTTTGTCAACATTGTAGCCAAATGAATATCTTGCAACTGTTTGATTTTTTAACTACTGTTATACTTTAGGCACCTATCTATCTACTTCATTTATGAGGTCAGTGGTTCAGCTAATATAATTGTTTGCTTTTCTAAAAGGTTTGCAAAGTTGCTTGATTCATGGGTAGACTAAGTTGTGGCAGTACATAACACTCACAAAAAGGATCTCGATTGACTGCCCTGGAGTTGTTTACCAGAATAGTGACTTTGAAACAAATATTGTACTAAAGGGTATGCTATGTTCGATCAGTTAATTGCCTGCACTTTCTTCTGCCTTTCACAATAGTGAGGCAATGGTATGTTTAATTTATTGTTATTTCTCAGAACAACTACAACAAGAACTGAATACCTAATTCCCTAAAGAAAAGGAAATCCTGTGGAATTTCTAGTGATAATTTATATATAAACAAACCTAAAGAAAGCTTTTTATTGCCATAACCTTAAGAGAGCTGAAAAATTAAGGATCTTTTGTGTATCATACTGCATAATATTTAGCATTATCAGTTCCAATGTGTACAATAAATACTAGAATGCCTGCAAGAGTTAATATTTCATGTGAGAATATATATTAGAACATCATATAAGTTAATGCTTGCACATCTAGTACTTTAGACTCTTAGAACTATTCAAATAATTACAAATGCTGTTATAACCTGTGTGGACAAATTTTAAAGCATTCTTTTTACAAATTCAACATTTCTATCTTTAGTTTGGTTTTACAAACATGGACATGTGAGAGAAATATTATCCGCCTAGACCAAGACTTAACTTTGACTTGTTCAAAGGACAAACAAGGCGAATGACAGTTAGTAACAACTGTATATTCTACCAGTCTATCAATCTACTAGGTTATTTATCTCAAAATTCTACTAGGTATTTGAATGTCGATTATTTTGGCCCTCTTTCAGTTACGTGTCACAAACTTGGAAGATGCTTCTGAACATATTGGAGAAGTTCTAAAGTGTGTAAAGAAAGCATGCTAGATAAAGGACTGGTAAGCTACTCTGTGGTTTTGTAACTAGCTTTCCATTGTTATCATATATTTGTGATTTTAAATGAATTTCTGCAACATTTTGTAACTAGCTTTCCTTACGTGGATCACTATCTATGTTGCCTTTTCAATTGTAAATTCTTACTAAAGTATATGCTTCTATGAATGGTCAATCTCTAGGGTGGTGAACCAGATATGATTGCAACAAAGATGGTCCTCCATGACTGGCAAATTAAAGAGGCAGATTGCTCTTTCTTGTTCCTCCCTCATCAATGGGAGGATGGCTTGTTAGAATCACATACTATGCATGGAATAGATAAAGAGATGGTGGCTAATGATAGTCAGGCGTACCTGCAGCAGCACGTGAAGCCATCACAAATGTAATGTCATCCCAGCAGCAAAGAAGTTAACTAGTACAAAGGGATCTCTATTCTCTTCAGTGAGAAAGAACTAAATGATGGGACAGCCAACGAAGTTCCTAAATGATGATGAAACTGGAGATCAAAAAAGGCTAATGAGAGGGAGATACCAATTTCCAACAGCTGAGCTAGACGTATGCTTGGAAGAAAACATGGCTCTCTTTTTGTAGTAAGGAATTATTGTTTTCACATCCAGCATATTTTTGTTCTTCCAAGATGATGAGTTCTAGTTGTATATTATGTAAAATTATCCTTGACTATTCTGGGATTTGATCCATGGAGGCATGGAGTGATAGTTAGTAGGATACACATGGAAATATGAATCAACATTTAGAAACAGGGTGGCCCAAGCAATGAAAAAAATCATTCAAGTTTTTCCCATGATGGTTGAGCTGTTCTTATCATCACTTAGCACTTCTAATCATCTCAGTCAAATCAAGTAACTGCTTTGGCCCAATGAAACAATGGAATGCACCTATGAAATGAAATGAAGTGTGTATTTTTTGTTCTCATCATTCTATCACAAATTAAACTAGCTTCATTATAAAACTGATCGAAAATTTTTGTGACCTCCAGAGAGTGCCATGTGGTTATTTTCTACTAAGAATATTGATTTTTTTTTTTTCCAAAAAATTATACATTTGATCTATTCATAATTTCATAACCCTTATATAGGAGTTAGATAATAAATTTGGTACTAAAATATTATGCATGATATAATTATTAAAAAATTATTGACCAAATATATATTTACGCATTAGTATTATCAATTATCTGATTTCTATGCATTTATCAACATTGTAGCCAAAAGAATATCCTACAATTGTATGATAGATCCAAATCAACCTCTTCCTTGACGTTATAGATTGATACCAAAGCCAACGGCAAAGATGGAAATGCTTTTGTTTTCTTGACCAAGAGTAGGAGTGTTGTATTAGTCAATTGATGCAGTGATATTATATACTAATTTCTTTGCCACTTGAAACATATGCAACATACATCCTTTTTGGTTAAATGACAGTGTTTTAAATCATTTATTATTATTTTAGAGTAGTTTGGTTGATTATATTTTGTATTCTACTTTTTTAATAAATTAATATTTTATTTTTTAATCAGCTTGAATTTCTTTTAGATTAAAGTTTTAATATATTTTAGTTCTACTTTTTATTTTGTAAATTTATATCCTATTTTCTTTATCTTGTCACTATTCATTGGACAAACATCTACCTTTTCTAAATTATCAAACCTACACATATTTATGCTGTTAATGTTCTACCATTTTAAATTAATAGTGCATGCTACATGATATCCTTGGTTAATTAACATTTTGCTGCTAGTTTATGTGTTGGAATCAAATTTGTAATAGATTTTTATTTTTAGATTTTCTCAAATTTTTGTCCTCTTGGTTGGAAGAAAAGCAAACTTATCTGATTACATAATCTATCATGTGTTGGACTCCATTAGACTTCCTTTTCGTTTAATTTTTTGGCCATCCAGTGGACTTTCTTTTCAATCATACAAAAGCAATAGCAATTAGCAATACATTATCTTCTCCAAATGGGAAAGAGATTGAATTAGAAAATAGAACCTAAATCAACGACAAAATTGGCGGAATTATTCAATGAAGAACAGCCTCTCAAGCTTCTGCTATCATTTCCTTGATTTCCCTTTCATTTTCTTGTAACAAAATGATTGCACTA